TAATATATATAATCATACTTAATGTAATGTTATGTAGTGAAAACTATAAGTAATCATACTATAAATTTTTAATGTAATATTATAATTAATTAAATTTTTAATCATTTAATTAAGTTTGTACAAGTTTCTAATAAAATGTTATAATTGACTAAGTAATTATACTATAAATCTATAACGTAATGTATAATTAATTAAATTTCTAATTATAAGTCAATTAATTAACTATTTAATTATGTTATAACTATAAGTCAATTAATTAAGTAGTAATCAATTAATGTAATGTTATAATTAATTATACTAAATCATTAAGTAATGTTATAAAATTAAATTAATTAAGTAATCATTTAACTATAATGTAATGTTATAATTGATTAAGTATGATATTTACTAATAATTAAATTTATTAATGTTTATCAATTTATCATATATAATTAATTATTACTAATTATTATAATACACTTAGAACTGTAATTGAAGTAAATAACTAAATATATTATTACTCAATCAAATATACTATTTTATTCAAAAATAATTCTTTAATAACATTAAAAATGTAAAACATTTTTAATTGGATCATAATTCCAATTATTCACTTAATTGATCACAAACTTTAATATTAATGTATTATAAATATTAAAACTTTAGTATGGTGTAATTATATGTATATAAGTATATTGTATTGTATATTTATTTAATTAGGTTATTCTAAAATTAACTTTTTCTATTTTAAATTTTTTTATATGTAAAATAATAGAAACTCCCCCATTATTTACATTTCACAAATATTTCATTATAGTCTAGGTTCTAAAATAGGTTCTAAACAGGTCCCCAAAACAGGTTCCAAATAGGTTCCAAAAGTCGGTTCCAAACCGGATACCCCCTACAGGTTCTAAACAGGGTACCCTTTTTACAGGTTCTGGTTCTGGTTCCGATTCCTCCACATGCAAGAACCGGAACCGAAACCGCACAGTAGTGGTTCCAAAAATTGGAATCGGAACCTACCCGTACAGTGCCGGTTTTGGGTAGGTTCCGGTTCTGGTTCTTACCCCCAGTTCCGGTTCTACCCGCTACCCGTGCTCACCCCTAAGCACTACAATAGGAGAAAGACATTAGCATTAGAATCGGCTTATAGAACAATAGTATTATATAAGTTTTATACAAAATTTACCTTGAGTCATTTATCGGGACGGGAAGGCGCTTGAGTGGCCACTTTCCCATCTGTACTTCATCACCGAAGTACTGAAACATTTCGCTGTCGAGCAACAGCCACGGGAACAATACGCACAGTGGCTCCAACTTCATCTCCAACTGCCTCTCTCGACAAATACTTGAGTTGCAGTCAAGGATCTACAGCAAGCCTTCCTCTAGAAGCACAGCGACGGTTATCCAAGGCATATCTTTGATGTTGATAATGTAGTATACTCTTTTAACCTTTACCCAACTGTGGCCATGTTTGGGCATTTCCTCCCGTACATACTGCATCATCTTGTCATCAAACTGAAAATCATCAGGGATACCGTCGAAGTCATATGTGGCCAATATTTTTCACTTGCCTCCTCTTGCTGCACCTCTACCAATGACCTTTTTCATTAGAGTGTCATATGTCGTTACTAGCGTTTGGCCAAATGTTACATCAGTGATGGCACAATCAGGATACAATATATCACTATTACTGCTTTGTTGTAGCCTCATGAGTGCCAATACCTCATTGATGTGCTGCATCAAATAAAAACAATATGATAAGTATACAATATCTCATGGAAAACATAAGCAAAAATAAGGAAAATTAAGGGAAAATAGCTCATCGAGTCATCAAGCCACCTGCTCATCATCAACATCTTTTCAAACCACTCCTGGGGATAATCCCTGATCTTGCATTTCACATGGGCATCACTTCCAGATTCATTGTAATAGGCGTAGAAGAGTTTTTTCTTTTCCTCCTTTATTGGCCTATACAAATTGACATTAAACTCCTCCGTTTTCGCTTGCCCACTTTCTCCCCTTTCTTCCATTTGCACATCCTCACTTCCTTTGCGTCCCACCTCATCCTCCTCCATTATCACTTCTCCACTTCCTCCTTAACCTCCTCCCTTTTTGCTTCTCCACTTTCGTAGACTTCCTCAATTTTTTTTCTTCATTTTCCTTTTCTTTCCATACGTTACTATGTTGTAAGGAGATTTGACAAACTTACTCTTTGGACTCTCTCTTTTCAGCTTAGGTTGCACTTCAACCGCTTTCAATACTCCACCAACTTCCTCCTCCACCCTACCAACTTTCTCTGCCACCTTATCAACTTTCTCCTCCACCATTTTCATCCGCTCTTCCATCTTGTCAAACCTCTCATAAACGGCTGTTGTAAAACTCTGAAATAGACCGTTTATGAGGTCAACAACCTCATTCTCCCGATCTCGATGCCTTGGCAAAGTAGTACTTGTTGTACCAGTTTGCCAATTGGGTGGAGGCGTCCGAACCACTTTATCCTCCTCCTCCTTCCCGTCGACTGGAGCTTCGTCATCCTTGGCGTCAACAACATTCTCAAGCAGTGGCCTTGCAACTATCTTCACATGCGTGACCGTTTCTAGGTCTCGCATTAGCTGTTCTATCCCTTTATCTGTTGCACCATCTAGTGCATCGAACGATATAACATACTCCTCTCCCGCTTCACTCCTAGTAGGGGTGAGGAAGGGACGGACGACTCCCTGCAATAAGAAAAAAATCAATCAAATTTAAGCCACATTTAAAAGCAACTACATATTCAAAAGATTAATCGTTTAATCTTACCCGAACCGCTTAAATTTCTACGTCTATTTTGTCGTAATCCCAATGGGGTACACTTCTCGATGTGCCACCGTATCATCCTAGGAAATTGCGGTCGCTCATTGGAAGTCTTCATCCCCCCCCAGCCAGGACAGAGACGACCTTATACATCCAAGTATATATAGTCCATATCATAATTAAAACACATATAATACAAAAAATATAACAAAAAACTATTAATATTTACCTGTATGACCCATGGGAAGCCAAATAAATTGTATGTGCTCGGTCTATTCTTCTCAACAGATTGGCGATGCTTTAACGCCATGTCTTTTCCTTGCAAGGAGTCCATGGTTAGCTGAAATGATACTCGTCCCCACGGATAAACATTAAAGAAGTCCATGTTGCTTGCAAACTTCACTCAATCCATATTAACGGCTTTTGTTAAGTCTGAAGCCATTAGGATCGAATGAACAAACCATACCAGACACATCTTGAACCTCTCTGAAGAGGTAAACCCAACTTCTCCTAGCCTCTCCTCTAAATCGCATCCCGTAATAGACGCCTTCCCCCCCCCCCCCAAAACCTTTTTAGCCAACTTATCGGCTGCCCTACTCTTTTTTATTCTCTCTTGCTCTTCCGCATTTGGAAATGCCCTGTATCTTAAGCCTATCACCATGGCATATTCCATCATCCTAAATCATAGTGGCTTCCCATCCATTACGAACCATATTTCGTTTTTTTTGTTTTTTTTTTTGCTTTTTACTGAGTGCAGCAACATATAATGCCCTCCTTGCCCCTAGAAAGCCATTTTCCAATTTTCTCCGATGTTCACAAAATGACCAAAACAACTATCTTTAAATCGGTCCATACACTTCTTCTGTTCCTTTAAAATCTTAATTATTCTCGTAAAAACTTGCCAACCTTACGAGGAAGTACGGTACCTTATTGTTTACAATCTCCAACCTATAGTCTTTATTATTTACGTTTCGCAAAATCTGCACAAACGATATAAACTAAATATCAGCAAAAAAAAAAAAAAAAAAAAGACCAAAACAACCAATAGGCTAACAATTTGGGGGATATGGCCTTTGAAGGCATTGGGGAGTGGGTGTTTTTAGCCTCGACAAGACCGGGGAAGCCAATGCAAGCCCTATAGAGCCTGTTGTGGCAGGTTCCATGAGGTTGGAGGGCTAAGGATGGCAGGAGGGGCCATAATAGGGGGGCTGGTGCGCGCAGCTATGCATGGCCAGCCCTGCAATATGCAAGGCAGCCCTCCAACCCCCCTATTCCGCCACCTCCTGCCATCCCCAGCCCTCCAACCTCCCACAAACAACCTCCCTACGGCCTCCTTTGCCTTCCCCCATCCTTTGGAACCCAAACAAAGCTACTCCCCCCATGCCCGACAACTGCTCGACAAAACGCAACAACCATCATAACAATAAAACCAACTACATATTCCCCAAATTCGCACAAATCAATCAAATTTATCATCAAATTCAAAACAAAAAAGTAAAAAACGTACCCTTTCTTCACCATCGTCCTCCTCCTCGCTTGAAATCTCGTCGGCGTCCTCCTTTTCATAACCATTTCCCGATTCTTCTCTCTTTTCTTGTGCCACCGTTGCCTCCTGTGCCTATGGACCACCTTGACTCATCGGATGATCCACCGGAGCGTCTTCTTTGACAACCTTTGAACTGTTGGTGCCGCCAGAGTCTAGGATTCGGAGTGGGGTTGAGTTTTCCTCCTCTTTGTGAATGTCAGCCATGGTTTTGTGTAAGGAAGTTTTATGATCGAATATTTGCCGGAATTAAGGCATTGTCGTCATCAAAAATCGTAGAAAAACGAAATGTGTTCGTGGGTCGTTTTTTAGGTAGATGGCTCGATTAAGCGATTTTGAAGGGTGGGGATTTCAAAATTTAAACAAACTTTTGTTAATTATAATTTTACTTACATATGTTTAAATCTTTTTAGTTTAACCCGTTTGACATGTTCAATGAATCTTAAGTGTGCCATATCAGTTTTTCTAAATTAAAAAAAAATTAAAAAATATTTCTAGGATCATTTTTTTAAATGTAAACTTTAGAGGGCTGGCTGGTTAAATTTTCTCGAGCTTTAAGCTTTGTATTCTCGAAGACTCGCAAGGAAATCAACAGTAGCCTGGTATTTTTCTCTCTTTATATTTGAATTAATTTCTCTGAATACTGGAATTCTTTAATTTTGTTGAGAAAAATTAAGCGAAATTGATAAAGAAAGAGAAATTAATGTGCCTATTTTTTCGTTTCTTTCCGTGATAGTTGAACGAGCTCAACTTAAGTAAACTAGAATGATTATTAAGCTCAGGTCACTTTAATGTATGTTTTCATTTTCCTTTGATTATTCTTATAACTTCATGTTTTTTGTTTTCCTTCGATTTTCTCAGCAACCAAACAGGACCCTAGGGTTTATTATTTTTAGTCGACTTTCCGTTTATATCGTATTAGTGTGAAATAGTTAATCAATTATTCTGTTGGTCTATAGGTTTTTGAGTGAGGATGATTTATACAGCAATCGACAATTTTTACTTAACCGATGAGCAGCTGCAGAATTCACCTTCGAGAAAAGATGGTATCGATGAAGCAACAGAAACTACTCTAAGAATCTATGGCTGTGATCTCATTCAAGAAAGTGGCATTTTGCTTAAACTGTATCCTGCTTTTCTGTTATTTAAAGTATTAGTAAATTAGTTGCTATATGGGAGTATTTATTTACTTTTGTATCATGTACATTGTTCTGGTAGCATTGTTTCCACTGATCATGATTATAGACCTCAAGCTGTAATGGCCACTGCTCAGGTTGTATTTCATCGATTCTATTGCAAGAAATCATTTGCTCGTTTCGATGTGAAGGTTAGTCTTGTTTGCTGAATGACTGAAAACAAAAGGAGGTTTTTTGAAATATGTATATGGTATTGCTTCTGGGTGTTTTAGGTGGATTACGGATCTCATATTGTGTTTTTTGTTCACTAAAGTTAAGTTTTTTTTTTTTTTTTTTTTAAAAAATTTTTAAAGGTTAATTCTAATTTTCATTTCTTGTGTGTTATTGGAAATGAAATGTAAAAGTTATTGTTTTTATTTGACTGGATTTATTGATGTTCCACATGTAATAGTTTTATGAGCTGTGATGATATCTTGCAGATAGTGGCTGCTAGTTCTGTGTGGCTTGCATCAAAGCTGGAGGAGAGCCCTAGGAAAGCAAGGCAAGTCATCATTGTTTTCCACAGAATGGAATGTAGAAGGGAGGGCTTACCAATAGAGCATTTGGATATCTTTTCAAAGGTTAGAACCGATATTTTGTACGTATTTATTAAACAATGTTGCTGTGTATAGGTTTCTTTTGGCTGAAAGCTTTATGACAGTAATTGAGCTGACTATATTAGAAGTTAGGTTATCCTTTTAAGTGTCATTGCACTTCTAAAAGCCCTTGTTTGCTTTGTTTTATTGATTCATGGATTAATTTGTTAACACATAATTACTGATGTTATGTAGAAATTTTCAGAATTGAAAGTGGAATTGAGCAGAACAGAAAGACATATATTGAAAGAGATGGGTTTTGTTTGTCATGTTGAACATCCTCATAAGTTCATATCAAACTACCTTGCCACCCTTGAGACACCTCCAGATTTGAGGCAAGATGCTTGGAATCTAGCAAATGATAGGTATGTATTGCATCAAACTTACTTTCGAGAACATTTACATCACAATTTACACAAAATTCATCCATTAATGTGATAATCTTTGGATGACACTTGGTGTTTATTGATTTAAGAATCATGTGCTTGAACTTTCTCGACTGTCCATTCTGATGAATGTATGCTCATGGTGTATTTGTGAAGCCTCAAGATGAAGAATAGTACACTTTTCAAAAAATTTGAGGCCAAACCATGGTCATTTCTGCAAGCATATTATAATTTTTAAGTTTGATAAATTGGGTAAAAAGGAGAAAGTACTTTAGGATGTTTAAGTGGTTTCATTCTAATTGGATTAGCTGTCAAATTTATTTGAAGGAAGACTGATTTAAGAATCATTGGAAGTCCTGGTTTTTCTTGTGAAAAAATTGTCTGTGATAGGTTCTAGGAAACAGAATGTTGCGAGTTGTAGAAATGGAAGAGGTATAAATACATATGATTAAAATGCATATATTGGTGTTACAAGTGCATAGTAATAAAAGAAGCATACTGGGAATAGCATTGTAATTGTTTAATTTATAAGATTTGTGTTAAACTCTTAGATGCTGCTCATATTGAGTGATAAGGATCTTGTGAAGGTGTTAGAGACAACTAGGCAAGGGAAAGAGTTGAAAAGATGTGGGTTCACCTTTTGAGGTCTCATATGCCAACACTACAATCACGTACAGAAAAAATGATCTTCATATATGAATTAACATATTTTTTATTACTATAAATAGTTTTAATTTACATCACATGTAAAGCTACAATCTTTTTCTTTTTGATCATGCTAGACTTTAAGACTTTCTTTCACTCAACTGGTTTAGAGTTAAAGTTGAATGAGCTGCTTCTGTCACCCATTTGTTGTGAACTAATATAGTAATATTGGTGTCCTTATCTAAAAGGTGTTAGGTGTTTTTTTCATTTTAAGTTTCATACGATGTTGTAGTTTCGTATGAGGTACAGTGCTATAAAACCTTTTTCAAAGTTGATTATCTAATCTGGTTTCCTTATTGAAGGCATCTTTTTTTTTAATCTAATCTTCTTCCGATCCACATGCACCCAAAAGAAAAAAAGGATGGTTAGAAGAGGAGGAACTTCTGTGCATATCATTCGATTTTTCTGTAGTAGGTCATGGTGTTCCAGTATTAGTAGCCATTATATCACATCTTCTGCTAAAATTACTATCTCTATATAATTTTTTCTAATGGTTGAATTTTTTATTTACTCTCTTTTTGGAATAGTCTGCGTACAACATTGTGTGTTCGATTCAAGAGTGAGGTTGTGGCTTGCGGGGTTGTGTATGCTGCTGCTCGAAGGTTTCATGTACCCCTTCCAGAGAATCCACCATGGTGGAAAGCATTTGATGCAGAGAAATCTGGGATTGATGAAGTTTGTAAGGTTCTGGCTCATTTGTACAGCCTTCCAAAGGCACAATATATACCAGTCTCTAAGGATGGAACTGTATTTACGTTTTCTAGCAAGTCTGTGGACTCACAACCTCATTCAACTCCAAAGGTAATATTATTGTCGACCTCTTATTTCTTCTGTATCTTCTAGGTTCACACTGGTAGCACCTGTAATCAAATTAATGTGGTGCTGCTTTTTCTCCGTTTACAGGAAGTTCCACAAAGTCCATCTGCTAATAATGACGCCACTGTTAACAAGATGGCTTCAGCACCTGTTATTCCCGAATCTAGTGGATCCAAGGGTGCAATGGTAAAAGCAGGCGCTGATAAGCTGAAGGAGTCTAAGAAGAGTGATGCTGAATCGAAGAACATACCCACTGAGGGAGAGGCAAGAGAAGAGCCTTTACAGAAATCCAAGTTGGAGCACCGGATAGAGGTGAGTGGGGAAAGGAGCAAGGACAGAGACAGGGAAAGGGAGAGAGAGAGAGATAGGGAGAGAGACAGAACAAAGAGCCGAGATCGTGATAGGGGCAGAGATTCTGATCGTGAACGAGAGAGAGACGAGACTGAAAGGGATAGAGATAAAGCTAGGGGTCGAGGTCATCGTTCTAAGGATAGATCAAAGGATTCAGGTGAATTATCAGTATCTTCATCATCATGGACCCAGGCCCATATTTTATTCTTTGTAATTAGATTTGGAGTAATACTACACATACAACATTATGTGACAAAATATGATTGACTGATTTTAAATTTAAATTAAACTTTCATCAAATCATTTTTGTCACATAATGTTGTATGAGACTGTTGTATGTGTAGTATTTTTCTTAGATTTGCAGATATTTCTGGTTCTAATTATCCTGTCTGACATCTTCAAAATATGATCTCTTATTTTGAAAATAGGAGGACATTCTGAGAAATCAAGACACCACTCGTCACGAGGTAGGCATCCTATTTCCTTTCTTTACCACTAATATGTATTTTCTTTTTCTTTGTAATTTGTAAAAGTTGAACTTCTAAAATCTGAATTTTTTTTTTTTTTTAATCATTTTCAGACCGTGACTACTACAGCTCTGGTTATTCATCAAGGGAAAAGGATCGTCATAGACATTATTGATATGCATAAATCACCACAACTAATAACCTTAAATGAGTCGCAAAGGTGTGCCGCAGCCTCTCCCTATATTTCAGAATCCAGAAAAACAGTAGCTCTACACTAGTTGGTTTATGCAAGATGATTAATATTCAAAAACAGAAAATATTACATGTTGTTGTACTTTAATTTTGTTTACAATCAAGATCATCTTCTCATTTCCAGACATACAAACTTGATTTGGTGGTTAATCTATGTACAATATTTCTTGACAACTAAGCTTTTTCTGGACCACTCAATTGTGAGGGCAAAATGCACATTCTCAGTACCATTAGCAGCTTGTCATTTTATGGTACAACCCTCGAATATAATTATAGAAATATGTGAAGTTGCCATTAATATGCTATTATTTATCTTCTGAGTAAGTGAATTGATTTGGATTTATAATAAAATAACAGTAAAGTAGTAATTTACTAGAAGTGGTGCAGCCTTATCTGTTATATGCCAAGCTGGAAATGTTAGGTGCTTTCACTACTTCAGTCTTCAGTGTCAGATCTTAAGAAGAATAATGTTGCATTAGTAGTAACGAGTATGATCATACTTTTTGCCTTTAATTGTTCTGACCAAATTTTTGTGTATTACAAAGAGTAATGTTAAGTTCATAATCTAATCTTACAACTTTCTCTTATAATTTCTGATGTGGTAGTTTGTTATTGGTCAGTTCGTAAAATAGGTCCGTTGTTTTTATGGGTTTTGTTTGCTCATTTGTTATTTAATAAATAACGAACTGTCATATCGGTCACATCGAAAGTTGTGAGAGAGAGGGTTGTATACCTTGCATTATTGATTACAAAATTTGGAGTGGCTCATTAAAGAAGCAAGCTAAGTTGTTGTGTCACTTTGTTGTCATAAATTTCTCAATTAAATGATAGAATTTAGAGCTATTAGCAAGTCTTCGACTTCTTATCATTAATTATGGGGAGAATATCATAGACTACCCCTAAGTTTTTCGGATTTATTTTGGATGACAATATTTTTGCATTTTGATTAAGTGAACCTTTAAAGTTTGAAAAATATATCACTTATACCCCTTTGTGTTATTAATTGGACCCTCAAAGTTTAAAAACTTTATCACGGACAGGGGCGGATTTAATGAATGACGAGTGGGGACCATGCCCCCACTCAATTTTTAAAAAAAATCAGATTTTATATTTATATTTATTTTTAATTTTGTTCTTATAAAACTTTGAGATTTTGAGAGTCAACTGCTTGGCCCCCACAATAAGTTTAGATTTTGTTTTTGTAAAACTCCGTTGTTTTTAATCCTAATATATTTATTACATATTCCTTGTGATTTTTATTTTTATGCAAGGGAATCTGTTAGTTTTTTTAAGTTTTATTAGGAGTAAAAATGAAAGGAATAAAAGCTGTTGGGTTTGCACGTGATTGAGGGGAGAAATCTATACATTTTTATAATAGAAAGCTGATCAACTTAATCATTTTTTTCTCCTTTGTGGGTGATGTGCTTGAGGTTATTAAAGAAGATGGTTTAAATCCTGAACAAAAGAGTGAAGCATGTAATCTATTAGATTTAATCTATTACTTTGATTTTGCATTTAGCTTACATATGATGAAAAATATATTGGCAATACTAATGAGTTCTTACAAACATTGCAGAATAAAGATCAAGACATTGTAAATGTTATGACCTTAGTTAAAGTCTCCAAACAACGGTTACAATTGTTGAGAGATGAAGGATGAGAATCTTTGTTAAGTAAAGTTTCTTCATTTTGCCAAAAGTATGATATTGCTATTTTGAATATGGATGATATGTTTGCAATTTAAAAGTAGCGACAACGGAAAGTTGAGCACATGACAAATTTGCATCATTATTGAGTTGAATTGTTTTATACAGTGATATATATGCAACTGTAAGAACTTAACACTCGTTTCATTGAAGTTAGTATTGAGCTACTTCTTTGTATGACATGTTTAGATTCAAGTAATTCATTCTCTGCTTTTGACCAGCATACGTTGATCTGTTTTGCCCAATTTTATCCATTTGATTTTTCAGCACTTGAGTTGATGGTGCTTGAGAACCAAGCTAAGATTTATGTTATTGACATGTGTTCTTGTGATGAATTTGCTGAGTCACAAGAAATTGGTTATTTGGCTAAGAGCTTAGTTTGGTTTAAAAAAAATATTTTGCATCCGTTGGTGTATAAGCTTGTGAAACTTGCATTGGTTTTACTAGTTACGACCGCGACCGTTGAAAGTGTTTTTTCAACAATGAATCTTGTGAAAAGTTGATTACGCAATCGAATGGGAGATCAATAAATGAATGATTGCTTGGTCATCTATACCGAGAAAAATTTATTTGATACAATTAACAATGAGATGATTATCCAACGTTTTCAGAATATGAAAACTCGTCGAGGACAATTGTAGAAAAATTATATTTTTTGAAGATATTTATTTCTATTTTGTAACTTTTTATTGAAGCTCATCGTAATGAAAAAAAAATATAAATATGATTGGTTTTAATTTTTTTTTTTTTTTTTTTGGTTTATTTTTGCCCCCATCGAGTGAAATTCCTGGATTTGCCATTGATCACGGATACTCCTTTACCCTCACTTTGTTACATTGCCAATAGATTTACAAAACAGTTTTTTTTTTTAATAAAAATAAAGTTGATTTTTTACCCGATCACTTTTTTATAAGGCCAAAGTTAACATGAGTATCTATTCGAATGATAAAACTTGGAATTACTAAAAATGGCTATGCATACTTATCTTAATTATCACGATTTAATATTTACCGCATGATATTTCTTCAAATAACAATTTCCCCGCTTAGATATCAATTTACCCATTTCATCACTGACACGTACTTCATTTAATCCGTTAAATTAAGTAACTGAAACGGCGAAACCCTAAAGAAATACTAATGGCAGGGGTGAATTGTTATTTATCATATCTGAGGGGGGATATCGTTATTTGGGGAAACCTTAGGGGGAAATGAAACTCTAATTATCATAAAAGATGGCGTAATTGTTAAGATCAACAACCTTTAAATACACTTTCAAACACATCAATCCAAACATAACCTTGATCACATTTTTTAATTTTCTGACATCAATAAATAAAAAATTAAAAAACTTATAACCAAAGGAAACACGTGATGTCATTAATGCCACCACCAAAAAAACATGTTTTTTTATTAAATAAATAGTATAAAGATAACGGTTATTGTTTGGACCACATTCTCCACGCGCGTTTAGTGATCGTGTAATAAAAGACAGTTGTCTGTTTCAAGACATGTTTGTACGCGCGCCTTTTGCGGCTATAACGAAGAAAATTACTTTGTGGATTACCTGGCAACTGGCAAGTAGTTAGTAACTGTGTCAATGATGCTGATCTGTCTCAACAGAATTTATCTTTCTTTCACTTACTCTCTGAATTAAAATATTTTTTTAATTTAATAAATATTATGCTAAATATCCATTAAACCCTATCAAGGCTTTAATAAATAACCATATCTCTTCATCAAACGACCATTAATTCATATAGTTGTCTAAATTACTAAGAGTTTTGTACATTAATTATTTTTCAGTTGTTAACTAATTTACTTTGTAAAATAAATTACATTTAATTTGTTTTTCTTGGATGAATAATAACATTTTGACCCCCAATCTATTGTGAAAAAAACATTTTTCCCCTTGGTTTCATAAACACCCAATGTTACTCCTATTTTTCGAATTCATCCGTTAAAATAGAAAAGTGAAAGGTAAATCTTGTCAATTCATGATGTGAGATTATGTTTTCTATCTCTGTACTATTATATATGTGAGGTGAATTGATAAGATTGTGGTGAAACAAGAGAAGTAAATCCAACACAAACAACTAAGCAAGATCCTTGATTTCACAAAAAAAAAAAAAAAACAATAGGAGGAGAGTCTAATAAATGGAGTCCTAGAGAAAGGCAGTGGCCAAGGTTGGCTAATTGGTCAACCACCAAATTCCTTTTTCTATCGACAGGTTTGATTAAGACCAGACTAAGTTTTTTAATAAGTTCCTAACATTTAGAATCTTGGAGAAAAAGAGTGATTGCTATTGATACCCTTAAAGATCATGTCAAAGTTCAATTTAATGCAAGATTGTCCTTAAGTTTTAGCATCCAAAAAAATAAGGGTTATATTAAGTGTTTACGAAACCAAGGGGAGAAAAGTCCTTCATGATATGTTAGGGATCAAAATGTATTTGACCAATAAAGATAGGTAGTTCAGTTAGATGGATGAATCTAAGGTGAAGGAAGGAATGAAATCTTGGAAGACAAAAACAGAGACAAAACAAAAACGGAAAGATAGTGAAAGGTTGTTAATGTAAGATAAGGTTGTTGCAGTTATACTTTAAAAAAAACTGTTGAGTTTTCAGTGTGTACAAAAATTTCATAAATTCTTGAGAACAAAAACTGAACCAAGTGAAGCCCCATTTTGCTCCCAACAAAAGGAGTGGGTCCGAACGCAACCAGGCTGTTTATTGTTCCATTCTGTCTTTGAAGCTTTTTCTTTTTCTTTGCCAAGATCTCTCTCACAATCGACACCCCCTTAACCTTTTTCTTTTCTTTTCTCTTGTTTCTTCATCACTAATGGTTTTTGTTGTACAAATGAAAGTAGAAATAGAAAAAAAACTTTCATTCTGAGAGATCTCAGAGGTTTTTTTTCACTTAATATTATAACAGGTATTTGGAAATTTTGTCCATTTCTGTCTCATTTATTGTGGGTTTCTGTTAAATGTACTTTAAATTGGAAAACTTGATCTGGGTTTCATGTTTCCTTATCAAAAAGTTTTGTTTTGTTGTTCAAAATTTGATACATTTGTACACTTTTTGTCTTACTATGTGAATCTCTTTATCATTCTCTTTAAATGGGTTTGATCTGGTTTTTATTTTTATGATACATTTTGTACATTTTTGTATCATTTATGTCACTCTCTGTTGTTCTTTCCTTTTTACTGTTTATTATCACGTTTAAATCCTTTTAATAAACATTTTCATGATAGTGTTCATTGTTGATCTGTTCCTCTACATTTAATATTTTTGAAAAGTTTGACTTTTTTATTTTCTCCCTTCTTGAGGGTAATGGGGATGATTTGAGATTTCTTCTAACGACGGTGTGATTAGTTTTTTGGTGGTTCACTTTTTACAATTTGGTATTTAACTTGCTTGTTTCAACCCTCGGAAATTGAGGCTTTAGAAATTTGAGTTTAATAACAGATTACATTATGCTAGATTTGCATTCTTTCTGAAACTTATGGTAATTTTTCTTTTCATCTGATTCATTTTGCCTGAAATTTACTTGTTTGCCTTTTTTGCTTCATAAGATGAGTTGTTAGGAAATGGGGAGGAAAGGGAATTGGTTTTCTGCTGTGAAGAGAGCTCTTAGCCCTGAATCAAAGGAAAAGAAAGATAAGGTTTTGGATTTTTTTTTTCAATAAATTGATAATGTGAATTAATTTTGCTTTTCTTAATATGTTTATAATGGAAACTTGTTGGTTTTGCTCTATTAGAAAAACGATAAATCGAAGAAAAATTGGTTCGGAAAACGGAAGAAGTCGGATCTGGTTTCTGTGTCCAAAGAAACCACCAAATTAGCTGTTCCTGCCTCTACTCCTCCTCCAACACGTCCTCCTCCTCCTCCTCCTGCTCTTTTCGAAGATGTAAAATTAACTGAAGCCGAGAATGAGCAGAGCAAGCATGCTTACTCCGTGGCTATGGCCACAGCTGCTGCTGCAGAGGCAGCTGTTGCAGCTGCTCAGGCTGCTGCAGAGGTTGTTCGTCTCACGGCTGTGTCACGTTACCCTGGAAAATCAAAGGAGGAAATTNCATGATGTGAGATTATGTTTTCTATCTCTGTACTATTATATATGTGAGGTGAATTGATAAGATTGTGGTGAAACAAGAGACGTAAATCCAACACAAACAAATAAGCAAGATCCTTGATTTCACAAAAAAAAAAAAAAAACAATAGGAGGAGAGTCTAATAAATGGAGTCCTAGAGAAAGGCAGTGGCCAAGGTTGGCTAATTGGTCAACCACCAAATTCCTTTTTCTATCGACAGGTTTGATTAAGACCAGACTAAGTTTTTTAATAAGTTCCTAACATTTAGAATCTTGGAGAAAAAGAGTGATTGCTATTGATACCCTTAAAGATCATGTCAAAGTTCAATTTAATGCAAGATTGTCCTTAAGTTTTAGCATCCAAAAAAATAAGGGTTATATTAAGTGTTTACGAAACCAAGGGGAGAAAAGTCCTTCATGATATGTTAGGGATCAAAATGTATTTGACCAATAAAGATAGGTAGTTCAGTTAGATGGATGAATCTAAGGTGAAGGAAGGAATGAAATCTTGGAAGACAAAAACAGAGACAAAACAAAAACGGAAAGATAGTGAAAGGTTGTTAATGTAAGATAAGGTTGTTGCAGTTATACTTTAAAAAAAACTGTTGAGTTTTCAGTGTGTACAAAAATTTCATAAATTCTTGAGAACAAAAACTGAACCAAGTGAAGCCCCATTTTGCTCCCAACAAAAGGAGTGGGTCCGAACGCAACCAGGCTGTTTATTGTTCCATTCTGTCTTTGAAGCTTTTTCTTTTTCTTTGCCAAGATCTCTCTCACAATCGACACCCCCTTAACCTTTTTCTTTTCTTTTCTCTTGTTTCTTCATCACTAATGGTTTTTGTTGTACAAATGAAAGTAGAAATAGAAAAAAAACTTTCATTCTGAGAGATCTCAGAGGTTTTTTTTCACTTAATATTATAACAGGTATTTGGAAATTTTGTCCATTTCTGTCTCATTTATTGTGGGTTTCTGTTAAATGTACTTTAAATTGGAAAACTTGATCTGGGTTTCATGTTTCCTTATCAAAAAGTTTTGTTTTGTTGTTCAAAATTTGATACATTTGTACACTTTTTGTCTTACTATGTGAATCTCTTTATCATTCTCTTTAAATGGGTTTGATCTGGTTTTTATTTTTATGATACATTTTGTACATTTTTGTATCATTTATGTCACTCTCTGTTGTTCTTTCCTTTTTACTGTTTATTATCACGTTTAAATCCTTTTAATAAACATTTTCATGATAGTGTTCATTGTTGATCTGTTCCTCTACATTTAATATTTTTGAAAAGTTTGACTTTTTTATTTTCTCCCTTCTTGAGGGTAATGGGGATGATTTGAGATTTCTTCTAACGACGGTGTGATTAGTTTTTTGGTGGTTCACTTTTTACAATTTGGTATTTAACTTGCTTGTTTCAACCCTCGGAAATTGAGGCTTTAGAAATTTGAGTTTAATAACAGATTACATTATGCTAGATTTGCATTCTTTCTGAAACTTATGGTAATTTTTCTTTTCATCTGATTCATTTTGCCTGAAATTTACTTGTTTGCCTTTTTTGCTTCATAAGATGAGTTGTTAGGAAATGGGGAGGAAAGGGAATTGGTTTTCTGCTGTGAAGAGAGCTCTTAGCCCTGAATCAAAGGAAAAGAAAGATAAGGTTTTGGATTTTTTTTTTCAATAAATTGATAATGTGAATTAATTTTGCTTTTCTTAATGTGTTTATAATGGAAACTTGTTGGTTTTGCTCTATTAGAAAAACGATAAATCGAAGAAAAATTGGTTCGGAAAACGGAAGAAGTCGGATCTGGTTTCTGTGTCTAAAGAAACCACCAAATTAGCTGTTCCTGCCTCTACTCCTCCTCCAACACGTCCTCCTCCTCCTCCTCCTGCTCTTTTCGAAGATGTAAAATTAACTGAAGCCGAGAATGAGCAGAGCAAGCATGCTTACTCCGTGGCTATGGCCACAGCTGCTGCTGCAGAGGCAGCTGTTGCTGCTGCTCAGGCTGCTGCAGAGGTTGTTCGCCTCACGGCTGTGTCACGTTACCCTGGAAAATCAAAGGAGGAAATTGCAGCTATCAAGATTCAAACGGCATTCAGAGGATACTTGGTATGATAATTACTCATTTGCTCCAACTATATATATATATATATATTTTTTTTAAATTCAAAGCTTTAAGTGAAGAACTTGGACATTTAAATTGAGTGTTACATGTAGCCAGACTGGCTTCGCTATCTTGTGCCCTGGAATTTTTAATGCACATTAGCTCATTGGCTGGAATTTGGAGGCCTTAAGAATTTATTGAATTAATTTGTTTATCTAACTTGAAAACATTTTATCTAATTGCATTATTAGTAAAGTAATTTTCTTGAACAGAGGATTCATGTGCCTTGCATTATTTGCCTGCTCACTTACCTGCATCTATAAGTGAGCTTTTACTAGGTTATAAAAGGTATTATGCTCAATTTAGAAAACCAGAGTAATGATTGATAATTGTCATATTCCTTTAACTGTAATGCCCCATTAACAAAGCTGTATATGTGACTTGGGTTCTTGCTTTGAGCATTTCAGGCAAGGAGGGCCTTGCGGGCTTTGAGAGGATTGGTGAGGCTGAAATCAATGATACAAGGACAATCTGTTAAGCGGCAAGCAACCACCACATTAAAATGCATGCAGACTCTTGCTCGTGTTCAGGCTCAGGTTCGAGAAAGGAGGATTAGGATGTCAGAGGAGAACCATGCTCTCCAACGACAACTCCAACAAAAGCATGAGAAAGAGCTTGAGAAGTTTAGAGCTTTTGTAAGTGCTATCATTCTATACTCTTTTACATTTGGCGTGTAAGTGTTAAAATATGTGGTGAATGGTATCCCTACTTTTGTTTTCTTAAAAGGTTTTAAAATATGTGGTGTTAATGCATAAATTTTAATTTCACACACTTTACAGCAAATTGGGGAAGAATGGAATGATAGCTTACAGTCTAAGGAGGAAATTGAAGCAAAACTACAACACAAGCAGGAAGCTGCTATGAGAAGAGAGAGGGCATTGGCTTATGCATTTTCTCATCAGGTATCAGAATATCCTCTTTCTTACCATCTCTGGAATTTTAATTTGTGGCTCATTTTTTTCACTTTTGAAAGCAAAAAAATTTAAATCTGGGATTTGACTGGTGAGGAGGTGCATGTGATATACCAGTTCCTTCAACTAAAGAGGGCAGACTAATTTGAGAAATGCTACTAATATGCATTGTTGTTTATATTTTCTCTCTCTCTCTCTCTCTTATTATTTCCCTTGTATTTATTGGTATTATATTTAGTTTTAAGGTTTTCTGAAATCCGTCTTTCAAATATAAATTTTTCTTCAGAACCAAAAATTATGATGCTTTTCATTGAATGGGGCCTATGATTGATGGTGGTATTTGAGCATTGATTTGAGGATTTATATTTTTTTTAATTGCTAAAAATTCTCTAATCTGCACTCTTTAGTTGAATTACATGGTAGAGTTAATCTGGATGATAATTTGTTTAACAGCATGTGTTGAAGAACTCTTCAAAGTCTGGAAATCAAACATTTATGGATCCAAACAATCCCCACTGGGGTTGGAGTTGGTTAGAGCGATGGATGGCAGCCCGACCATGGGAGAGCCGAAGCACTGTCGATAACTTTGACCATGGTTCTATTAAGAGTGCAGCGAGCCGCGCCATGTCTATTGGGGAAATAAGCAGAGCATTTTCACTTCGTGATCATAATAAACCTTCCCCAACTGCACATAAATCAAACCGACTTCCCAGTCATAAATCACCTTCAACTCCTCCATCCAAAGCACCATCTTCATCATCAGTAACCGGGAAAATAAGGCCACCAAGTCCACGAGGGAGTCAATGGGGTGGGGATGATGACTCTAGAAGCATGTTTAGTGCACAATCTGAACAATACAGGAGGTACAGCATTGCAGGCTCATCAGTTGGTGACGACGAGAGTTTTGCAAGCTCCCCTTCAGTTCCAAGTTACATGGCACCAACAAAGTCAACAAAGGCTAGATCGCGCCCAAGCCCGTTGGGAGTAGACAAAAATGGGACACCAGAGAAGGGATCAATGGGTTCTGCAAAGAAGCGGCTCTCATTCCATGCTTCCCCAGCCGGGCCAAGGAGGCATTCGGGTCCTCCAAGGATGGAATGTACCTCCATAAAGGATATTGAAGCGCACACAGAAGAGAAAGTTACCAATGGAATCGTCAGGTAGTGCAAGAAACACAACCAAAAAAAAAAAAGAAAAAAAAAAATTACAAATTTAGATAAAAGTGCAGATGAAGAAGAATGAATAAAAGATGGGTTAAAACTTTGTTTTTATCTTCATTATCTTCTCTATCAACTGCACTAGAAAAAAGGTGCAAGGGAAGAAAGAGTGAATAAAAATGGATTATTGTTATATATATATATCTATTAGTTATATTTGTCGTGGAATATCAACATCTTTTCTCTTCTTCTTGAACAGCTGCTCTAGTTAGAAATATTACTTATAATTTAGTAGGATTGGTTTGGTTCGGTGACATTAGTTTAATGATTTTTTGTTAAATATTTGTTATGATTGTAGTCTTTTTTTCTTTTCCTCCTTTTTGGTCAGTTTTAGTGTGAATTTTCTTTGGGATTGTGAGTTAAATTTGGTGTAGCTTTTACCCTTTATGATGCTTTATTTGCTTGCTTAGAACATAAGCAAAGAATACTTTCAGGCACACTTTGTAAATAATTATTGACCTAAATGCACTACTTGTTTCAATTGAAAATTATTAAGTCTTGCGTTATAAGTTTGCTTAACATTTCCACTGCAAAGGAATTGTCATTTCTGCCCTCAATACAAAGATTTTCTCAGTCACACTATATATAATTTTCTCGAGGAAATTAGTTAAAATGTTCAACGAGGCTCAGGGTTAGTTGAGGTGTGTGCAAATTAGTATAGACACCCGCCTAGTCATAAAAAAAAAAAAGAAAATAAAAAAATATGATGCTTAACGTATTTCAATGCCAAAAAAGAGTAAAATAAAATGGGAAGTGATCACCTTTTTCCCTTAATCTCAAACTTACTAGATTTTTTGTTTACATTCCCTTTTGTTAATTTTCTAATTTCAAATATGAAACTTACTTTTTATTCTTCAGTTTCAGATTTATTCCGTGATTGTTTTTTCCATAATTTTATTATCATTTTTTTCATCAAACAAACAAATCTTTGAAATTAGAAAGGTTTCCATAATTATAAAATTTATGGTTAGGGTATAAAAATTTAGGATTAGGGTTTATGTAAGATTAAACGTTAAAAATTATGACAAAATTTATAAAATATAATGAGTGTATTTAAAAATTATAATATCAAAGTAAGGTTAAACTCATCAAAATAAAAGAATATATTTAAAAATAAATGACATCGATCAATTAGATAAGATTAAAAAACTATCTTTGAGTAGTCGAGTGGTTCGATAGAGACATTTGGATGTATTATTCAAGAGGTTTTGAGTTCGAGTCTCTCATTAGTTGCTAATAAAAATAGGTATTAAAACTCTTACTCGATCGATAGTTTCAATGTCCTTAACAAAAAAAAAAAAAGGGCTAAAAATCATTGATCAATCAAATTGATGATGGAAAAAGAGGGGTTACTCGGCCTTTGCACGATTTCGGGTCACTGGGACCCGTACAAAACGCCCAATTAGACCAGCCCAATACTACCACAACATGTCCTTTAAAATGCTGACGCGGCCCATTATGATTGGCGACTACACTCAACTGGAGAGAAACTTTTACCATCTAAGGAAAGCTCAGTGATTAACAAACAGAAGAAAGAAACAGAACAGCTTCAAAAACAACATTAATGGAATGAAACTCCAAGTCTTGTCTTCGAAGCTCCAAACCCCACATAAATGGTAATAAAAATTAACATTTATCTGTTTAGTATTGATCATTTGACTAGATTTTGAAGTAAAATTCTAATATTTCTCTAGTTATCTGATTTCACGATTCATTTTGCTGCTGAATTTCATATGTTCTTCTGTTTTGTTCATGTGGATTGTCTCTTTGGTGTGCGTTAAGTTTGTATTTGCTTGATCTTCGAAATATTATGTAATTATTTACTGTGATTTTTTTTAGGTGATTGCTGGAATTTTATTTTTTTAATTTCTAATTTTTGTAGGAGGCTATGAGCTCAGTTTGGAATTTGGATAAATTATATATATGTTAGGGTTTTGGCCCTTTTGGAGGGTTTTTTTATTTTTTCATTAGAAAATATTATGTGAAATAATCTTTTGTTATTAAATGCCTTTTTCTTGTGTTATTTTAATCAATAGTATTGGTACTATGATGAAGAGACCCCATTCAGAATTTCATTCTTATTTTGATTTCTATAAAATCAGATGAAAAAATATGGATATTGTTCTAGAGCTTTTGTTAGTTGAGTTTCATGCGAATTAAATCCTCCAGGCGAATGCCTTGTACGCCTCATGAAATTTTGGTTGCCATCAAATGGAAATAAATTTTCAATTTTTCAGAATCTGTTTTCTTAGTGGAGTGGGAATTAAAGCTTATTTTGCTTTTTTTGGGTTTTTGAAACGTTTGGTCGTGCTGGTTGATGAGATAATCAAAGCTGTTTTTCTATAATTCGTGGTTTGCTTGAGGTCAAACGAACTCAGGATGGACCTGAGTTTGAGTTTTGCTCTTGAACTATTAACTTGATGATATGGTACTGTGATTAGCCCATTCTCATCTTTCTATGATGAACCTTAGTCTTCATTTACAATAATCTCAGAATAATATAATTTTCTATGCCCATCAGGCTACACCATTTTTGGCTGGACTTGCAGTTGCTGCGGCTGCGCTTGCTGGCAGATATGGACTCCAGGCTTGGCAAGCATTCAAGGCCCGGCCACCAAAACCTAAAATACGCAAGTTCTACGAGGGTGGTTTCCAGCCTACGATGACAAAGAGGGAAGCTGCTCTTATCCTTGGTCTTAGGTAACCATGACGCTTTCGTTGAAATGTTCAACATAGATTTAAATTAAACAATGATATGAACACATCACTTTAGTTTGCATAAATTAAAGCGACTTTTGGTGAAGCACAGATTTCTGGGGCATGCATGAATCATGATCATCATCGATTTACTTATAGATTACTTTCTGTTCTTCATGCATCCAAAGTTTATTGTTTCTCCGGTCACATGATTTGACAGGGAGAATGCAACTCCGGACAAAGTCAGGGAAGCGCATAGGAAAGTAATGGTTGCAAACCATCCTGATGCAGGGGGCAGTCATTATCTTGCCTCTAAAGTTAATGAAGCTAAAGATGTAATGCTCGGCAAGACAAAGGGCGGCGGGTCTCCATTCTGATAACATTTCATTTGCATAAGTTTAGGCAAACTGTGTACAGAAGTAACAATGAGTGTCCGATCCTTTTAAGGTATTTCATTTATATTATGCGATGTTTGCCAATGTGTTGAAGTTTCTTTATCAAATTGGGCAAAGAATTTGAGTTGCCAACGGTTGTTTGGACCTTGCAAAGTTGGCCTATTGACAACTGACCGAACAACCCCTGCCGCCGCAGATAAATGTGAGATAATTGTTTTAGCAAATTTACGAGTTATGGTTGTGTGGGGATGATAAGAGGGAGTCCTTGGAACCTATTTACCCAAGCCATAGCTTTATTTTATTATTTACAATACCCAGCATTTGGTTCAGAAAATATTGTATTACAAAAAAGATAGGATTATCAGTGAGATAAATTACTTTGGAGATTAAGGGAAATATTATATCATTAATTAATATATTTGGTTGGAAAAAATAAAAGAATTGTGGGAGACCTTTTACTAAATTGCCCCTTTTTAATAATATTATTACTTCTAACTCCCTAATGTTTGAGAATTTAGCTAAAACACTTTGTCATAATGAAAGTTTAAAATTTAACAAAATATTCACAGTCACTCAAGACAACAGGCAGCCATGATTGCAGGTCGCTATCAAAAGTGGCTTGAAGCCTTGAACAGTGCATGATCGGTCGGATATGATCGACAATGCATCGATCTGGCCGTTTCTGGTTAGAGTGTTAAATTTTTAACTTTTATTATGGTTTAAGTGTTTTAGCAGATTCTCAAATATAGGAGGTTACAAAAGTCATTTTGCAAAGTTGAGCGAATTGTTATTTGATAGACATACAAGGACATTTTTGTTCAGAATGTTAATTAATTAAGGATAAAATGAGAACACAAATTGAATTATCCGAGTAATCTTAAAATAACACTTTTTTTAGGTAATTAGATTACCTTCAATATCATTTTCAGCCATCAATTATCGAAATATTTTATTACTAATAACTAAATATGGTATATCTATATTTTATGATAAATTACTAGAATAATCTTTTATTACCGTTAACCAAATAACCCTTACATTTTTTTTTTGAAAACAATATGACTCATAAATGCCTCATTAATGCATGAAGATAATTTGTGAGTTCAGTATGTGTTTTGGATATAAAACCATATGCCATCAATTATATTACATTAGGAAAAATTAAATAAATAAATAGTTTTGGTAATTAAATTAATTATTTTATAAGAATAAATAATATAGAAATCGAAATTTCCATTTTCGTTATACTTGATTTAAAAACCGAATCAAAAGATCATATGAAGCCAAAGCGTTAGCATTCACCAACAATTAAGCAAATCATATAATGCCACGAAGTATCATAAAGATTGTGCGTTGCTGGATAAAGCTACTGGGGCCTTTAACACGTGTCAAAAAATTACTAGTCCATAATACACATGTCAACCTCATGGTTGCCGCCAAGCAAAACTCGTGGATCCATTATTTTTCAAATTTTTATTCCGTCGGTTTTGTTCCGACCAATTATTTTTTGGATATTTTTTTATTAATAACCTAATTATTTTGATTTATTTTCTCCCATATTTTATTGTGGAGGAAAAAAAAAATCCTTTTAATTTATGTAAATGTATGACAATTCTCCCAAAGACATTTCAATAATAATTTGAAACTAATTATATGATTATGAACAAATTGAATTATTCATATACAAAGTCAACTGATAAAAATATATATTAAAGTTCAATTATTTTCTTTTATATTCAATGGAAGAATAATTTTAATTTTTTTTTTTTTTTTTTGTTTGGTTGACATTAGAAAAAGATAAACAAAAAGAGTACGACTTTTGATTTTATTAAACATGGAAGACAAGATGAATTGGAGAAGGTTCAATATGATTTCTTTGCCTCTTAAATCAATATATTATCCTTTAATCAAAATATGGATATACTTTTTGATGACTTAGGATATCAAAGTCAGTTTACGTGTATCTCAGTTGATATCCTAAGATGTTGGAAATACCAGTTAGATAAGAACTCCAGTGACTGTTTCTATTAGCAACTAAGAAGCGACTAGAATTCAACTAATTCATTTGGGATCCTGAAACTATTTATCGGTAAGAGTTTTAATGGCTACACCTATTAACAACTAAAGAGGGACTTAACCTCAGCTAATCTCCTGAAATCCTGAAACTACCAGTCGGTAAGAGTTTCAGTAGCTATCCCTATTAATAATCGATGAAAGATTCAAACTTAAAATCTTTTAAATAATATATCAAAGAGTTTTTATCGAATCACTCAACCACCTGGAGGCTGTTAATTTTTTATTTTTTCTATCTTAATTATTTTTAAAACCATGAGATTTACCCATATTTTTGAATAATGTAATCTTTTATTTTCATTCTAATATTATTTAGCCTACGATGACAAAGAGGGAAGCTGCTCTTATCCTTGGTCTTAGGTAACCATGACGCTTTCGTTGAAATGTTCAACATAGATTTAAATTAAACAATGATATGAACACATCACTTTAGTTTGCATAAATTAAAGCGACTTTTGGTGAAGCACAGATTTCTGGGGCATGCATGAATCATGATCATCATCGATTTACTTATAGATTACTTTCTGTTCTTCATGCATCCAAAGTTTATTGTTTCTCCGGTCACATGATTTGACAGGGAGAATGCAACTCCGGACAAAGTCAGGGAAGCGCATAGGAAAGTAATGGTTGCAAACCATCCTGATGCAGGGGGCAGTCATTATCTTGCCTCTAAAGTTAATGAAGCTAAAGATGTAATGCTCGGCAAGACAAAGGGCGGCGGGTCTCCATTCTGATAACATTTCATTTGCATAAGTTTAGGCAAACTGTGTACAGAAGTAACAATGAGTGTCCGATCCTTTTAAGGTATTTCATTTATATTATGCGATGTTTGCCAATGTGTTGAAGTTTCTTTATCAAATTGGGCAAAGAATTTGAGTTGCCAACGGTTGTTTGGACCTTGCAAAGTTGGCCTATTGACAACTGACCGAACAACCCCTGCCGCCGCAGATAAATGTGAGATAATTGTTTTAGCAAATTTACGAGTTATGGTTGTGTGGGGATGATAAGAGGGAGTCCTTGGAACCTATTTACCCAAGCCATAGCTTTATTTTATTATTTACAATACCCAGCATTTGGTTCAGAAAATATTGTATTACAAAAAAGATAGGATTATCAGTGAGATAAATTACTTTGGAGATTAAGGGGAATGTTATATTATTAATTAATATGCTTGATTGGAAAAAATAAAAGAATTGTGGGAGACCTTTTACTAAATTGCATTTTTTTTAATATTATTATTATTATTTAGATTATTACTTCTAACCCCTTAGTGTTTGAGAATTTAGCTAAAACACCTTGTCACAATAAAAGTTTAAAATTCTATAAAATACTCACAATCACCCAAGACAACAGGTGGCCACGACTGCGGGTCGCTATCAGAAGTGGCCTGAACGGTGCATGATCGGTTGGATATGATCGACCATGCACTGATCTGGTCGTTTCCGGCTAGAGTGTTAAATTTTAAACTTTTATTGTGCTTTAAGTGTTTTAGCAGATTCTCAAATATAGGAGGTCATAGAAGCCATCTTGTAAAGTTAGGCTAATTGTTATTTGACAGACATACGAGGGCATTTGTGTTTGGAATGTTAATTAATTAAGGGTAAAATGGGAACACAAATTGGATTACTCAAATAATCTTAAAATAACATTTTTTTTAGGTAATTAGATTACCTCTAATATCACATTCAGTAATCACTATTGGTATGAAAAGATTATCAGAATGTTTTATTACAAACAACCAAACATGGTATATTTATATTTTATGATAGGTTACCGAAATAATCTTTTATTATCGCTAACCAAACAACCCTTACATGTTTTTTTTTTTTTTTTTTTTTTTTTTGGAAATAATAATACGCATAAATGCCTCATTAATGCATGAAGATAATTTGTGAGTTCAGTATGTGTTTTGGATATAAAACCATATGCCATCAATTATATAACATTAAGAAAAAGAAAAATGCTAGAGGTACAAAGACTCTTACAAAGTGATGTGGCAGTTGCTACACCACTAGTTTGATATCAATCTTCTCTTTCTTTTTATAAACTAGTGGTATGACAACTGTCACGTCACTTTGTACAAAGACTCTTTATCTTATACATATAGCATTTCTCTTATGAAAAATTAAGATTTTGTGAATTGGTAAAACAAACTCTCATTGTGATCCAAGTTGGTGAATTGGGAGCCAGAGAGAAGAACATGCTGACTCCATGAAAGTATGTAGTTACCAAAATAAATAAATAGTTTTGGTAATTAAATTAATTATTTTATAAAAATAAATAATATAAGAAATTTCCATTTCCATTTTCGATATACTTGATTTAAAAACCGAATAAAAAAATCATATGAAGCCAAAGCGTTAGCATTCACCAACAATTAAGCAAATCATATAATGCCACGAAGTATCATAAAGATTGTGCGTTGCTGGATAAAGCTAATGGGGCCTTTAACACGTGTCAAAAAATTACTAGTCCATAATACACATGTCAACCTCATGGTTGCCGCCAAGCAAAACTCGTGGATCCATTATTTTTCAAATTTTTATTCCGTCGGTTTTGTTCCGACCAATTATTTTTTGGATATTTTTTTATTAATAACCTAATTATTTTGATTTATTTTCTCCCATATTTTATTGTGGAGGAAAAAAAAAATCCTTTTAATTTATGTAAATGTATGACAATTCTCCCAAAGACATTTCAATAATAATTTGAAACTAATTATATGATTATGAACAAATTGAATTATTCATATACAAAGTCAACTGTTAAAAATATATATTAAAGTTCAATTATTTTCTTTTATATTCAATGGAAGAATAATTTTAATTTTTTTTTCCGTTGACATTAGAAAAAGAAAAAAAAAAGTACCACTCTTGATTTTATTAAACATCGAAGATAAGATCAGAATTAGAGAAGGTTCACTATGATTTCTTTGCCTCTTAAATCAATATATTATCCTTCTTATATATTTAATCAAAATATGGATATATTTTTTTATGATCTAGGTATCCAAATCACTTTATGCGTATCTCAGTTAATCTCTCAAGACGTTAAAAAATACCAGTCAGGTAAGAGCTCTAATGACTGTTTCTATTAGTAATCAAGAAGAGACTAAAACTCAAATAATCCATTGGGATCCCGAAACTATTTATCGGTAAGAGTTCTAATGGTTACACCTATTAACAACTAAAATGGGACTCAAACTCAACTAATCTTTCGAAACCTTGGAACTACCAGCAGGTAAGAGTTTCAATGGCTATCTCTATTAGCAATCAAGGAAGGATTCAAACTTAAAATCTCTTAAGTAATTTATCAAAGGATTTTTATCGAATCATTCAACTACCTAGAGACAATTAATTTTTTATTTTTTCTATCTTAATTATTTTTAAAACCATGAGATTTACCCATATTTTTGAATAATGTAATCTTTTATTTTCATTCTAATATTATTAAGATTCAGTAACCATACAAAGTTGAGATCTTAACTATACAATCAATAATGTATTAATAAAATAAACTTTACACGCTTAACATTATCGTCTAAATAGGTATTTAAATATCTTAAACATAAGATTTTCCTTACACTAACAAGGTAGTGACACGTAACCGCCGTTTAGACTCTTAAAAACGCCGAAGAGGTGCACCCTCCTACTAGACCTTACGTCAGCTTCTACTTCTATCCGTCCACCATCCTCCATTATCCAAACATTTATTTATTTATTTATTTTATTTTACTTCAAAAACTATTTATTTCTTATAATTATTCCATTTATAATTTGAAAAAAAAAAAAAAAACAACACTAAGGGCTCATTCTTATTCTGTTATTCATCTTCTTCCCTCACCATATATTTCACACTCAAACCATAAACTGTCCAATTTTATTTTATTTTTCATTTTTCCGCAAATTTCAGGATCATGCTAAGCTTCACAGCTTCTCATTCTCAATAACACGGGAGTTAAAGAGAGAAAATGGATTGATTTGTTTTTGATTGAGCCAAAAACGAAATGAGATGAACATGAACTCGATGCTATTGACTTCCTGTTCCTACGGTTAGGGTTTTATCATTCAGATTCGGATTCAATTGCGGCACCGCTTTCTCGTCGGCTTCTACTTATCGCAGTCACTTGTAATTTTGTTCTTTTAACTGGCTTACTAGCTTTTTGATGATTTGTATGGACATGTTTAGTACGTTTTGTGAATCTGTGCAGAAATCTTGTTGAATTGTTTGTGAGGTTTTTGAGATACTGAGGAGTTATTGTTGTGGTTGTTGATTGTAGTAATGTTGAGTGCGAATGATCCAGTTGAGTCGTTTTTTAATTCGATTCAACATTTGAAAGATGCAATTTCGCCGCTCGAATTAGGTATTAGAAAAGCGGCCAAAGATCTTGAGAGTTGTATGGCAGTTCATAAGAGGAATGGAAACAATCTTGAATTGAATGGAATTGGAAAGAGCAGTAGCAAAATACAGATCTCTTCTGTGAAGAAGAAAAGTAATGGTATTAATAATAATAGTATTAATAATAGAGATGCTAATAGCGGTGGGCAGTGTGTGGTTAGTGAAGAGAAGAAGAAAGGATTGTTGTCAATTAAGTCGCCAATGAAGACATTTTTAGGACTGTTTTCACCAAATTTAGGGAATGGGAAAGTTGGGGTGGTTTCAAAGAAAGGAGTGAAAGAGAGGGATTTGGATAAGGGTGATGGGTCTTGTATGAACTGCTTGCAGTTTGCGGTTACTTGGTCTTTGTTGGTTAATGGTTTTGTTCAGGCTTTGCCGAGTCCGTTTAAAGGGGGCAAGAAACGGATTCAGAAAGTTGGGGATGAAGATAAAGGGCATTTGAGTTCACGTGCATATGGTCTGAAATCTAAGGTTTTTTGTGAGTTTAAGCAAAGGGAAGCCAAGAGTCAGTCTGTAAATGTGTATAAGAATGAGAGCGTAGCACATGAGGGGAAACATGTATCGCTTGAGTGCTTTATTGGGTTTATATTTGATAGTTTGATTCAAAACCTACAAAAATTTGATCAGCTTATGCAGGAAAGTGATCAAAAGGGTTGTGATTATTTGGAACCAGCCTCGACCTTGCCTCCGTCTTCTTCTCAGTTTGATCATTGGAAGGCAGTTATAAGTATTTGGGAATGTAGAAAATCTGATGTTAATGGATTTTTGGGGAACTTGAAGTTCGCGAGAGTGGGAGGTCTGCCTTCTAGTATAGTTGGGGTAACTTCTTCGGTCAATGAAGAGGGTGAAGATGGTGTTAGTACAGCCAGTGGGGAAGAAACAGGGGGTAATTCACCGCAGAAGCTGGCCGGTGGGATACTTAGTATTCCTCTATCAAACGTGGAGCGTTTGAGATCCACATTATCTACTGTTTCATTGACAGAACTGATTGAGCTTTTACCACAATTGGGGCGATCTTCTAAAGACCATCCAGACAAGAGGAAGCTATTCTCTGTCCAGGATTTCTTCAGATACACAGAGACTGAAGGTATGGTTTCTCATGCAGCTTGGTAGTTTATTCAATGTTGCTTTATGTTTTGTTTCTAATGTTTTACTGGGAACATACTAAACATCGAAACCTGTGAAGAAGTCGTGAAACTATACCATGGTAGAGTTTCATTGCTTGAACTGAAGGGTGCTGGGTGTTTAATACATAGCATAGGCTTATTTTTCTTAGGATTTAATAACTTTGTTTCATTTATAGAACCTATAGTATTTCTGGTTGTTTGTTCTTTGATTGAGATGAAAATTTAAGTCTTTGTCTATACAATCATCTACAGTGATAACTTATTTTTTAACCCTTATATTTCCAACAGGAAGGAGGTTCTTTGAGGAACTGGATAGAGATGGTGATGGCCAAGTGACATTAGAAGATCTTGAAATTGCAATGAGAAAGAGAAAATTGCCACGAAGATATGCTCGGGAATTCATGCGCCGTACCAAAAGACATCTATTTTCAAAATCATTTGGTTGGAAACAATTTTTGTCGTTGATGGAACAGAAAGAACCAACCATCCTCCGTGCATACACTTCTCTATGTTTAAGCAAGTCTGGTACACTGCAAAAGAGTGAAATATTGGCATCACTAAAAAATGCAGGACTTCCAGCAAATGAAGACAATGCTGTTGCTATGATGCGATTTCTGAATGCGGATACAGAAGAATCTATCTCATATGGACATTTTCGGAATTTTATGCTTTTGCTGCCTTCTGAACGGCTGCGAGATGATCCTCGGTAAGATGTTTTGCCTCTCTGAAAGAGCTATTCACTAAATTTCAGCTTGTGCTTGAAACATGATTTCTCTCTGACTTCTGATTTTGTTGCTTGAAGTATGTTTTCATATTGAAATCTGTAGTTTGGCTATGGATCTGAGTATAGTTTGTTTGATTTATGGTTTTCATTTATGGATCTTCAATGCTTGTTTGAATAGGATGGCGACAGTTTCCCTGTTTCTTGGAATCTATGTACAGGTTGAAAAGAACAAGCTTTTTGCTATGAAATAAGGGACAATGAAGAATCTTTTGTACTCTTAGGAGACATGATGGTTGTACAAATTACTAGGTTACTCCTATCTGCTTATAACATCTGTTTGTTATACATACAGGAGTATCTGGTTTGAAGCTGCGACTGTTGTTGCTGTTCCTCCACCTGTGGAAATACCTGCTGGAAGTGTTCTAAAAGCTGCATTGGCAGGCGGCCTTTCATGTGCACTTTCCACAGCATTAATGCACCCTGTTGATTCTATAAAGGCAATTATTTCAGCATAACCTTATGTACTTTTGTACTGGCATTTGGCTAATATTAGTGAAACCTTTTCAATAATTGCTCTATTTGATATTAAAATCTATGAAATTTTTGAATTACTGGCATACCATTTCTAATTGTAATCCTAGGAGGCTGCTCTGCTAGCCTTATGTGTTAGTCATGTGTTAATTATTTTCGAAATGAGTGTTCTGAAAGAATCAGGAACATCTTACTTATGAGGTCGGAGTCTTGCTTTTCTTTGTTATTTAAGTGCAATAAGGATCTTTGTACTGATTGGCTTGGTTTTTTCTCTCTTTTGCCACATGGTGGAGTGCCATAATCTTAACTGTATGAGGAATTTTGGCTAGCATAGGCATCTTCTTATGGCTGTTTTTTAACCTTCCCTATGGGCTAGGCAATTCATCAAAACAAGGGAAACAAAAAAAATCCTTGAATCGACTTTAGAAAAATGTAATGTTTCTGGCTTGATGCATCCTCCACAAGAATGTACATCTTTAAGTACACAAGTTTCAGTGAAAAGAGAAGTGTATTCATCTTTATGATTGTTACATAAAGACAGCATATAACTGTTCTGGATGGTTGACATTGTTTGTACTGTTTTGTGATTTACTGTTTGTACTTTGTAGTGCTTTGTTGTGATCAAGGTTTCTTGATTTTTCTTTGTTTTAATCAGACTCGAGTGCAAGCTTCAACTCTTACCTTTCCAGAAATCATCTCAAATCTTCCACAAATTGGAGTACAGGCATTATATAGGGGTTCAATCCCTGCAATTCTTGGACAGTTTTCAAGGTTTTTATTGTTACTGTTGTTGCCCTTGATCCCTTTTTTGATTTTGCTTAATAACATTGACTGGTCTTCTGTCTGTTTTTCTCTTGACTTCACAGCCATGGCCTGCGAACTGGAATATTTGAAGCAAGTAAGCTCCTGCTACTAAATGTTGCTCCAACACTGCCTGAACTCCAGGTAGTTTTTCCACCTATAGCATTTGATTGGTTGTCAAACAGTTTGACTTGATGCTGTTTGATAAAGTAAATATCTTTTAGAAACAGATTTCAGTGGTATGTTTTTATTGCTGGGGATTAGCAACATGCTGCCTGCCCGGAACCATTCTGTCATGATAACGACAATAATATCTATCTTATGATTGGACATAAAACTTTAGCTGTAACTTTTTTTCCTGATGTCTCAATTTAGAGTCATAGATTCCATCAATACCTTGTCATTTACCTGTTATTACCTGCCCAGGGACATAAAAAGAGTTATTGTCATTCTTTTAATGTCTTGAGCATGTTTATTTATCTTGTGTTTACTCTTAATTCATGTTAACATGCTTGTCTTGGTTGAGCTGTCTTTTATGAGCTTCCTATTTTGCCCTATAATTATGGTGTTTGTAGCTTAGCTGGTGATCTCTTGTGAGTTTAGTTTTGTTGCCATGATATGCAGGTTCAATCTATTTCATCATTGTGTAGCACATTTTTGGGGACAGCAGTGCGGATCCCATGTGAAGTATTAAAGCAGCGGTTACAGGCTGGTATTTTCAACAATGTGGGAGAGGCCATTGTTGGAACTTGGCATCAAGATGGTCTCAAGGGGTTTTTTCGTGGGACTGGTGCCACTCTTTTCCGAGAGGTTCCATTCTATGTTATTGGCACAGGACTTTATTCTGAATCAAAGAAGGTAGAGATTTTACTGTCTATAAACATTAAATCCATTTTCTTATCCCACATGGTGTTTGCTTGTAACTCATTTTTTACTTGTGCAAACCTAAAGCGCACTCCTATGAGAATCGCACACTTGTTTCCTAATTTTTCCTTTACAATAAAATTGATAGATTTAATTTTCAAGGTAAAGTGATAGTGTTGGGATTGTGGTGGCTGAGTGTTGAAAAATGAAATAAAGGGAATTCAGTTTTGTTTCATTTATTTCCACACATGATAAAGTAGAATTAGGTAAAAAGAAATTTGCTTTCGAAGTTGTCTTCTTAAGTTCTTTTTGGGTTCCAGAAACTTTTATATCCTAACAATGTCTTGATTATATTGGACTGTTTTGTGTGTACCTTTTTATGTTAAAATGTCAATTGTTTAGCAGAATATATCTTCTGCCAATTTTTTGAATTATAATAATCTGGGTTTTTGCATGATACTTGAAGATTTTCCAGCAAATTCTTGGCCGGGAGCTGGAGCCCTTTGAAACAATTGTTGTTGGAGCTTTATCTGGAGGGCTAACTGCTGTCCTCACTACACCTTTTGATGTTATGAAAACAAGAATGATGACTGCTCCACCAGGTCGATCTGTAACAATGTCAATGGTAGCTTTCTCTATACTCCGTCATGAAGGACCCCTTGGGCTATTTAAGGGAGCTGTACCTCGATTTTTCTGGATTGCTCCTTTGGGTGCTATGAACTTTGCAGGTTATGAGCTAGCGAGGAAGGCCATGGTAAAAAATGAGGAATCAGCAGGAGACCAGTTATCCCAGAAGAAGTTTGCTAGTTCGGGATAGATACAAGGTTTTTTAAAGTAAGAACATAACTTTCAACAGACTCCTGGGATTTTGTTTTGCCATAATTGCAAATAATTGTTGCTGGAAAGTTTTGATCCTTTTCTGAAACAACTAGCAGCATGTTCTTCAAATTTTCTATCTGTCGACAACTCGGCCTTTCTTGTTTAGACATTGTAGTTCTTGTCTTAGTTTTTCCTTTTTTTCCCCCTTGTTTTAAACTTTTTGGTCCACCAGGAACGGCAGTTCAAATACGTTCTCAGTTAAATTTTGTATTTTGCGTTCACAATTTACATTTATGTACATTATGTGCAGTTAATGCCTTCTGCTTTTAATGTTAATTCATTTTTGAAGAATTCATCTCTCACTGGGAGTTGCTTTTGATGCTTAGTTGTGTTGTGCATCAGCCAGATGATTTAGAAGTATAATTGTTTTTTTAAAAAAAAAAAAAATCGATTGTAACAGTTAAAAGTGATACTATTGAACTATTTCTTTATTGACACATTAAATATTTATATGCTAGTAAAAATAGGTTGATAAACATTCTCACTCATTTTCGCTCGTGAGAATTCGTAATTGTCCGGGTGAAACCCATTGTTGGACACACAGAACTTATTGCAAGCTGTCAATTGTGAACTGTCACATTATGTTTGTGAAAAAAGTTAATGAAAAGAGTTTATGAGTGTAGTATTATCAATTATATATTACTCATTATATGCCCATTCAATTTTACAAAAAAAATATTAAAAAAAAAAAGCTACACTCATGACCTTTTCTCGCAAACTTTCTCTTATAACCCTAACGTGATAGTTCGCAATTGATTAACTCGTAATGAGTCTCATCTAGGTCTCACCTAATAAATTACAGTTTATCAATTACGAGCTGTCATGTCAAAGTAGTGAGAAAAAGTTATAGATGTAACATTATTAAAAAACAAATGTTTGGTTAGGAGGACACTAAGGAACACTTTTAGTTTCATTGGATATAAGGGGTTGAAAAAGAGAAAAGACCACTATAGATAAAAATACTGAGCTTTCCACAAAAATTAGGGCTCCAATTAATAACCATTTTTTTTTGGAATGGTAAGAATTTTATAAAAGAGGCAAAAAATGAACAAAAACGTGGGGCATACCCCAAGAGAAAGATTGATAAAATTCAGTCAGGAAAACACATGGAAGAAAACCACAAAGCCATAAATTGGCATAAAAGAGCATGCAGGCTCCACACCAAACAAATCAGGAAGATGCCATAAACCACAAAGTCACAAACCGTCATAAAGAGCACGCAGGCTCCCCATAAAGCTAATCAGGAAGATGCCAAATCACACGGAGCTAGGCCGAGATTTCATACTTGGGTGCTAAACCCAATATCTTGGCCTGGACTAAATCACAAATAGCTAAGACCGTATCTCTGCGAGAGCTACAATGTTGACGAAACACATAGTTATTTCGTTCAAGCCATAGAAAATAAACCGTAGCTGAAAGGACTAACTGGGAAAGAAGGTGCCTGAAGTCCCATTTACGTCTAAGATGCAAGCTAGCCCACTAGAGCAAAGGGAGCCAAGAGAGAGTAGGCCATGTAGAGAGTGTCCTGGTAGTAACCTCCCGCTAGACATAACTAGAGAAGTCACAGCTGAAAAACAAATGGTCATGGGTCTCTGTAGCCGACCTGCACAAAACACACAGGGAGGATATAATGACACCATGAGAGCTGAGTCGATCCATGGTGCGAAGCTGACCCACTGAAGCAAGCCACATAATGAAAGAGTAGTGTGGAATATGCCCTGGAAACCACAAGAGATGATGAATCGAGTTCATAACCTGTTTGTCTCGTAACACATTCCAGGATGAATCAATAGAAAATCGTCCAGACGAGTGACCCTTCCACACAAGATGATCAGGACAACCCATTGAAGGCTGCACTGTAATATAGTCCCAGATATACTGAAGATCTGCACTACTCAAAGGAAAATCGCACGAACCATCTCGAATAATATCTGAAACCCAAGCATCCCATGGCAAACCAGTAGAAGTCAAAATCCTAAGAGGGAGCAAGTCACACAAAGGTCCCTACGGTAGCCAGTGATCTCGCCATAATAAGGTGTCCCTACCATCACTGATACAAGTCATAATAAGACCCCGACACCAATCCCTGCTGAGTAAGATCTTCCTCTAAGCCCATGAAGCCCCAGATGTAACTCGAATATGCCAAAAAGACCGGCCACGGAGGAGAACTAAATGGGCCCAAGATGACCATATAGAAGACCTATCATCAAGCAGTCTCCAAACGTGCTTAAGAATAACTGCTCTATTCCAATCTTGGATCCTCTTATCCCCAGACCACCATCTCTCAATGGATAGAAAATAGAAGACCATGCAACCTTGGCACTCGAAGGGGACAGAGAAGTATCCTTCCAGAGAAATGAGGCCAAAATACTCTCAATCCGTCTAGCTGTAACTGTCGACAAAAGAAACATGGATGACCAATAGACTTGTATGGAGAAAAGCACCGACTTGATCAGCTGAAGTCGGCTTGCATAGGTCAAAAATGTCGATGTCTATAGCCTGATCTGAGACAGAATTCGCTCTAACAGAGGCCTACAATCAGAATGCCGAAGTTGGGTAGAGATCAGAGGAACCCTTAGATATCTGACCGGTAGCACCCCCAACTGGAAACCCAAAATAGACTGCAAACGAACTTGCTCCTCATCTGTAACTTCAGAAAGAAACAACTGGCTCTTATCTGCGTTAGTCACCAACCCAGAAACCTTGGCAAAAGAATCTAAGGCCGATTTTATCAGGCTAACAGAGGAAGCATCTGCCCGACAAAACACCATCAGATCATCCGCAAAACACAAATGAGTAATAACTGCCTGCCTACACCTCCAATGATAATGAAACCCAAGGCTTTGAGAGGTTTCCCGAAGGATACTAGCTAACCCCTCCATAGCCAACATGAATAAGTAAGGAGAAAGAGGGTCCTCCTGCCGAACACCCCGGGAGGACCTAAAAGAAATCCTTCGACCTGGGGCAAAAGCCGACTGAGAACTCCCAATAACATCCGGAAGCATTACTTTAAACTGATTCACTATCACCTTAGTAATGCATTTGTATAGTACATTACAACAAGATATCGGTCTAAAGTCAGTCATATGACTCAGGTTTTCCACCTTAGGGACCAAAGCAATCATGGTAGCATTAACACATCTTGGCATTTCATTAGTAATAAAGAAATATCTCACCGCGTCTCTGAGATCTATACTAATAATCTCCCATGAGCGTTTAAAAAACAAAGAAGTGTATCCATCCGGACCAGGGGCTTTATCATCCGGGATAGAGAATAAAGCAGTCCTAATCTCATCATCAATGATAGGAGCAGTCAAGGGAAAAATCATATCAGAAGGAATGTGCCCATAAAAATACCTGGAAGCCTCCGCGATCCAAGGTTGAGTAGGGGCAACAAGAAGATCCTGAAAAAAACCCACTGCCAAGCACCCTAAACTGTGACTGTCAGTAATATGAGTATCATTCCCATCAGTCAAACTGTGGATGGGGTTCCAAACCTGTCTGTGGATCAACGAAAGAACTTAGTATTCTGATCCCCTAAATTCAGACATTGAACACGAGATCGCTGCTTAAAAAAAACCTCCTCATCTCGACAAAGACTAAAATACCGATTGGCAAGGTTCCTCTCCTGAGAGATACACTCAATAGAAAAGGGGTCCTGATCCAAATTTGCTTGGGTTGTCGCCCACTAAGCACGAGCCTCAATCACCCTGCTGAAGATATGGTTGGAATCCCTAACATTTAGAGATTTGAGCTTCCTTTTCAATAGCCCCAATTTTTGCGTAAGACAGAACATAGGATTGCCTACAATAGGCTCGTCCCAAACTGTCTGAACAATATCCACAAAATCTACACGATCAGCCCAAAAATTCAAAAATTTAAAAGGGGATGGTACCTTGCCACGACGAGAGCCAAATCGGACAACCATAGAGCTATGATCTGAGACATCCCGATGTCGAAACTCTGAAACTGTGGTCGACCGATCAATGAATCAAGAAAGCGATGCAAAGACCCAATCGAGCTTTCGTAGAATAATCCCATCGTCTTGCTGACTGTTATGCCAAGTATACCAAAGCCCAGTAAAAGGAACTCCAATCAACTCAGTATCATGAATACAGTGGCCAAAATCATCAATATAACCATACCACGCAGGATCACCACCCACTCTATCAGAGGCTCCCAAAATGGCATTAAAATCACCCAACACAAGCCATGGTAACCCCTCCGAATCAAACTTCGCCGCCTGATCCCTAAGGAAATGCCATAGGTTATGGCGATTCTCAAGGTCATTAGAACCATACACAAAGGTAATCTCAAAGGAGAACCCCTCTGAAACATGAGTAACCCTGCAAGTGACCTCCTGAAGAGAGGAATAAAGGCTATCTACAAAGTAAAGAGAATGATCCCAACATACCAGAATTTGGCAGGCAATAGAGTCCGTCACATTTGATAAAAACTTCCACGAAGGACAAGCTGTCGAGACTACCGACTGTAGATGAGACTGTTGAACCTTAGTTTCCAACAATTCAATCAAACCCAAAGGCGAATCAGAAATCCAATTCATCACTGCGCATTGTGTCAAGAAGCCGTTAAGGCCTCTAATATTCCAACTCCCTATCATTGGAACTGGGATAGAAACAAGCTATACAATCACTTGGGCCTAGGCCCCCGTTTTCCCCAGCCCTTCCCCTTTTTCAAGGCTGGTAAGGAAACTAATCTAGATAAGGTGACATATGGCGTCTGGAGATCATCACTATGTAGAACAAGTGAGACAAACCTATTGGAGGAAGTAGATTGCCTGCTCCTAGAACTCATAAGGGAAGCCTGAGTGTTTCCCATGTAGTTTGTGAAGCCCATAATGCGGTCCTGCTCAACTTCGATAGGAAAAGGCGTATCAAGATTCGACCAGAATCAAAGTTGGAGAATTCACCTCTACTGGCAAAAACAGTTTGCTGATATGGCATCAAATCCAAAGAAATATCCCCAACTGTAGCTACACTATAATGCATGGTAGTAGCCCCATCTGGAACTGAAATCCCAACTGGTGCTGAAACATCCCTCTACCGCTCCCCCTCCCTAATGGGATCAGTAGTAGTTGACTGTCTCAAAGGCTTGTGGTCCTCAGATTGCACTACAATACCACTCCTTGATGCCTTTTGGAAGCTAATAATTGTCTTACTCTTATCTTGAGCCATAGGTGTAGTAGGTACCTCTGGTTGGTGACAAACATGGCAAAAAACACAGCATTTGGGGCATCTCTTAGGGGTCCACTCATATTCCACTGTAATCTGAATGAGTTCAGTAGATAACCGGCATTGAAATTCAAATTGGCGCTTGAGAGGCTTGGTTGCATCTATCTCAACACATACCCGTGCATAATCTAAACGGGTCCGTTCAGAAGTAGTCTTATCACTCGACAACGGCAGACCCAACATAGAAGAAATCATGCAAAGTCCTTTGTGAGACCATAAAGGATAAGGCAACCCATGCAAATGAGCCCATACCGAAACCTTGGAGATGCGGCTTTTATCAAAGGAAAACTGTGCATGCCATTGTTGCAGAACAATCGACTTGCCTCCAAACATCCACGACCCTCTCTCTAGGATTGAATGCACCGCATCTTCGTCCCTAAATATGAAGATAAGGAAACCAGTACCAGTGGACATAAAATCCTCCAAACCCGCAGCTTCCCATGCACGGAAAGCAATTGAGCGGGCAACATGAAATGGCATAGAATCCCCCAAGAAATAACTCACAATACAGCGAAGCCACTCAACATCATTGTCATCAATAACATCATCCGAGATATGTAAGATGTCATCCTTAATATCAGGGTCCACGACTTCAAGGGTGAAATGGGACCAGACCTCTGTCACTCTAACCTTATCCGCCCAAGAGGAGGACACTTCTGATGTGCTCTTACCCGCACTTTTCTTTTCTAAAACTGGCTAAGAAACTGAACTTTTTTCCTGGGGCTCTAAAGACACCCAATTGAGCTTGAAAAGCTTCTTAGACTTCGGCATTTTTAAGCCATTAAAAGATAGTAATGATGAACCTACATTATCATTAGATTCAAACTCAAGAAAACCAAAGGAAGAGTTTTTGTGATGAAAAACCTTGGCTCCTTGAGTCGCCACATTTAAGAAAGCGGATAGCAAATACTTGTCATCCATCCATGGCTCCAAATCTCCAATCCATAAGGATTTCCCCAAATTTCCGGTATTTTGCGGCTGCTGGGAGGTGGTGGAGGTAGTATTTAAAGTGTTGGCTTGGGTTGGATGTGGTATGGTGTTATTTGGGAGTGAGGGATTTGGTTCGGGCATTTTGTCGAACACTTGGTGACAGGAAAAAAATGTGTGATTTAAGTGAGTTGAAAGGTTCAGAACAGTAGGGATTTGTGAAAAAATTCCAGGGTTGAAAGGGTTTTGGTGTTGGAAAGGGAATGGTGGTCGGGAGGGCCAACAAGTGGCGAGGCAACAGAAGGCGCTGGGTAGGGGTGGAAAAAACCGATTAACTGAAAACTTGAACCGAACCAGTTTTCGGTTCAAAAAAATAATTGAACCGAAACCGGTCCAATTTCGGTTAAAAACCGGTTATGAACCAAACTAAAAATTCAGTTCGGTTAACGGGTTTTAAACCGGTTAAATATTGGGCTGCATTTTTTAGCCCAATTATGAATAATTGGGCTGCTTTTTTCGGCCCAATTCGGTCACATGGCCCATTTTTTTTTTTTTTTTTACTTGAATTAAGATTATGCTTTATCAAATGATGAAGAAGAAGAAGGCTGAAGTGGTGTTCTCTTCTCGCTTCTTATCCAAATCTAAACAAAAAAGCAGTGAAAGAGAAGAAATGGAGAAGACGAAAAAGAAAAGAAAAAGTGGAGAAGGAGACGAAGAGAAGAAGACGAAAAAGAAAGAGAAATTGGTGAAGGAGAGAAAGAGAAGACGACGAAAATGTGAAGAAAAACTGAAAAAAGAAAGAGAAACCAGTGAAAGGAGAAAAAAGACGAAGAAAGAGAAAATAGTGAAAGATAAAAAAGTTGGTAAAGGAGAGGAAGAGAAGAAGACAAAAATGTGAAGAAAAACTAAAAAAAGAAAGAGAAAGCAGTGAAAGGATAAAGAAGAAGAAGAAAGAAAAAATAGTGAAAGAAAAAAAGTATTTGCGTGGAGAACCAAACCCAAGAAAATGCGTATAGAAGCAGAGTAGCAAATTGCAGGTCTACGTAGTCAATACCAAGAAAACAAGGGGGTGGGGGGGGGGGGGGGGGGGGGGGGGGGGGGGTGTTGAATAAGGGATATTTTATTTTTTATTTTTTTCAAAACCGGTTTTGGCTAACCGGTTTAATATTATCCTTAAACAGTTAACCGAACCAAAAATTTGGTTTAATTATTTTTAAAAGCCGAACCGGTTAATTTGAAAAACAGGTTTTTCGGTCTGGTTCGATTTACGATTTTTTTTTTCCAGCCCTAGTGCTGGGCTCGCGCAAGCAGCAGGCTTGCGCGCAGAGCCTGCGAGACAGGGAACTTTTATCGAGCAATTGGAGTGCACGATAAAAGCTTCCTCAAAACTCGACCAAATTAAAACCAGACCAAAGCTGACCAAATTAAAACCACTATCTCCAGAAATCTGCAGCAACAAAAAAACAACAACAAACCACAAAAAATGGCAAAAAAAACACCAAAAAAAAAGGTCCACGGAGTGGGCAAAAAACCCAACCAAAACACCAAGTTCCCGAAAAAAAACAGAGGGTTCTGCCGAAAACCAGGAATCAACAACATGCAAACAACTGAAGAGATTGAAGAGCAAGCCCAGAGGAGTCAGTCGTCACCATCCATTGCAATTCCCAACCAGAAAACCCACCGGAAAATCCAAACCAGTTCTACAATTTCCGTGAAGTTTCACGACGAAATCCCAACGAACGGAGCAGTAAACCGAGGCGGTGATGGAACGATGAGGCAGAGCATCTCAAGATCTTTCCAGTGGTGGGTGGATCGCTGATTTCCAATGCCGAACGTGCCCGGAGGAAGCCAACGAAGTTCCAGGAGTGGGAGAAATTTGAGAGAAAAACGCTAAAGCGCGTGGCTACACTCGCGCGTACTTGCGTGATTTCTGTACCAGGATCCCAATTAATAACCCTTTATTACTACTTTCTTTTTGTTCCAATTGCAACAATCTTTCAATTAAATAGAAGAAGAAAATAGGTGCTATGCCATAACTGAAAGGTATGCATTGCTCCCCATGGAAAAATCCAATTCTTATCAAGAGTGTAATCAAAGCTCAATTTCCTCAAATCCAGAGCAACCGACTTTTACATAAAAAAACAATTCGGTAATTATTATCACGAAACAAACAGCGAAAACACGGAATGTTCAGACATCTTGGCTAAGCTGTGATTAAGCTTAAAGCAAATGTGATCAGTAGCCCCAATAGTCATTCCTGATCTCATCATCGAACTTCTTCTTCAGCTCAGGATGCTTTGCAAAGTACTCATCTGCTGTCATGGTGCTGATCTTTTCCTGTTCAGACAATTGACAACCCATGAGAAATCATACACGAGACATGAATGAAAATTGAAATGTGCATCCATTTCCATTTACCTTCAATTCTTTAACCTCCACTATTTCATTGTCTAACCGTTGAGACTCTTTCAGGGACTTCTCCTCTGCTTCTTTTAATTCCACAATCTAAATGCCATACGAGCAAATGGCACATCAGACGCAACAATTAGAAGAGAGAGTAAAAAAAGCCATAAAAAATAAAATTATCATTTCAATTCTCACCAGTGAATCAAATTTAGGTTTGTACTGAGGGGTGACTGTATCCACATACTTAGGGATCTCAATGCCTGCCAAGGAAACAGGTAAATGTGTAAACAAGAACAAAGGAAGAAGAAAGAAAAAAAGTCGGAAACCAAAATGGTTTCAATACAAAAAAATTGGTAAGAAAGATCCAGTTGGCAAGGAGAGCAGTTTCAAACACCTTGATATTTGTAGACAAAACTAAGAATTAAACTGGATTTTAAGTTGTAGTTGTATCAAACAACCCAAAATTGCGCATCAATGTGAATAACTTGATTAATGATAGATATAAAATGCTAGGAAAGAAAAAATGACATATAAAATGGTGCCCTACACAGTAAAAAGCACATTATTGTGTTGCAAATCTCAGTTTGGTATAGCATCTACAAGTCTATTGTTAAATTTGAAGACAAAGTTCCAATAAATGGAATTCAAATGAATGAAAGAAAGAGACTCTACAGAACTGCGACCAATGTAAGGCAATTCCACACATCATATATAATAGACATCTTACTTTCATAAGCCTCTTTGTACACGTCCACCAAGCGAGACCCAATTCCCTTTCTATAATATTCCCAATCAATAGGTTCAGGTTCCTGCATAAAGTAAATACCTAATCACACCCGAAACCAAAAGGAGTTCAAACGAAAATGAAGTCAAAGAGCAATTCAACCACAAAGACTAGAGCAACTTCCATAACATAAATCAATTGGAAAACAAAAGATCATACTTTGGGTGTCAAGATCACAAACATGGTGCCCATTTAAGACTTCATGCATTAATAACCTTTGCAGCTCATAGAATAATTTCAAGGATCATTATGGCCCCCTCATCTTCAAACGACAAGTGCACTTAAACCTCTATCCCCATTAATACAATCCAACAAATAGCACCCAATTATCTACAGTATAATGAAATCTATACTTGAAAAGTGTATCAGATTTTTATTAATTATGCATCAAACCACTTAACCAACTAGCAGTAAAATTACATTTCGATCATTTAACATATGGGTGCCAGATCATGTAAATATTTGCATAAACCCAAGTATTACTTTATGGACAACAAAAAGTATCCCCAAAACTCGAATTTCTATTTCTTATATTCCAGATTTCGGCTACATTGCCCATGTATAAATAGCAAAATTTAAGTGGAAAAAAAAAAAAAAAAGCAAAACAAACAAAACAAAGTCTAATAATTTGACTTAATTTATCACAGCAAACAAAAAATAAATCAAGCTCTTATCGTTTCAATAGCATAATAAGAACATCACAACTTAGAAACCCTAGCAACAAAACGACAAAGATCTATCATAAAAACGACATAAAAAAAAAACAGATCAAGAGAGGGGGGACCTGGCTGAACTTGGTCTGGAGAGCGGAGTTAACTTCATCGAAAGCGCGACGAAGCGTGGCGAACTCTTTGCGAGCCTCATCGGTGACCAGCATCTTCGCCATCCCATCCCAATCTATAGTTCTCCCTGCTTTAAATGCGACATCGACAATTTTCTTTCCTGCGCCGCTCATTTTCTCTCAGATTTTCTGGCTCACTTTCTCGGCTGCCAAACTAGATTTTGAGGCTGTTAAAGAAGAAGTGACGGAAGGAGGGTAGCCGTCTACTTTAGTTTTTGGCTGGCTACCTGGATTCTTGGGCTAACTGGCCCAAACTATCTGTTTCACCAGACCCAATACTCAGTTTGGGCTTTTTCGGTTAGCCCGCATATTTAATTTTGGGCCAATAACATTAGAGTTGGGCTGAGTCACAGAATTCTTGGGCTCAAATGGGCGTCTCTTTTTGTTAATCTAGTCAGGCCCATAATTCCATTTGGGCTATTTGGGTTTGCTTCTATATTCTTTTGGTCCAAGATCGTTACAGTTGGGCTCTTAGTTACCATGACTCTTGAGGGCTCTATCCACAAGCCTTCAACATGCAACGGACAGCGAAGGCGTCACATCATGCACAAGCACAACGATCCTCTCCCTCCTCCCCCCCAATCCAACCGAACCGTTTGTAAAGACGTTTGGGACATCAAACCATGCTCGGGGATGCCTCAACTTAGCCTCAAATCTCAAAAAAGAATTATAAATTGATTACGAGATTAACAGTAAACTTTAAAAAATTATTTATAAAATTAGCTTTATATATATGTATCTATAACTTTGTCAAACATGAAAGTAAAGATGTCTTGTTCATAATTTTAATACTTGTTGAACACTATCTTTGAACTATAATTTAATACTAATTAAAAATGTACACAGTCCACCCTTCTAGATAATTACTATGATTGGCACAATTAAATAAGTATTTATTAAATATACAGTATTTGGTGTATTTTATTTGATTCAAATCTTTTGAATTAATTTCAAACAAACGCTCCTACAGCGTACAAAAATACATTAAAATATAATATAGTAGTCTTGTTCATACAAAAAAAAACTGTTGAGGTGGCAGTTTAACTGGGCTTAGTTGACTGCTCGGAAGATTTTCTCTGAGTGTCACAGATTTAGCAGCCGAAAAATGCACATTAAAAAAGAAAAAAAAAAAAAAAGAGAAAATTACAATAATGTCAGCTCAGCAGTAGACTTTGTTGACCTTAATTAGTCTCGATTAGGTACATAATTTTATGACTGACTAGTATTCATTGAATATTTATAGATTCAAACAAAGAAGTATGACTAATTAATTTTTTATTAATGAATTTATAAATTGAACTTTAAAAATGTTTAAATAAAGATTCTTTGTTTATTTTTCATATAAAAAAAAAAGCAAATGGTTTTTTCAGCAAAATGATTTATATTTGATTAAAAAAAAAAAAGATTAAATTAGTAACTTTTTGGACGTATTTAAAGTTTGAATTGGGTAAATCAAGTTGTTATTATAATAATAATAATTATTATTATTATTATTCGTTTTGTATGTGTAGATTAATAATAAGCACCATTGAATTAGTATTAGTGTTGACTGTTGACCATTGACCAAATCCAACGGTGAACAGCCAAACTCAACAAAAAAAAAATATCTTAATTATGGGTTGGCTTATTATTTTTATCCAGATTCTGGATCCTATTCTCTAAATAATGTTTGGCACATTATTCCAAGAATATTACCCTATTTTTTTAATTACTTTTAAACCCCATAAGGTTATTAATTTCATCAAATACACCCTAAAAAAAGTTTAAAAATTATCAAAAACACCCCCGCAACCCATATTCGCCAGTTCCGGCAACCACCGTCGGTGGTAGCTGAAATCTATACAACGGCCAACCTGCCGACCATAAATGGCCGGAAGTTCACCGATCTGGCCTTTTTCGGCCAGATCCACCACAGATTTGGCCAGAAAAGGCCAGATCTGGCTGTGAACGACGGCCAAAGATGGTCGTCGTTTTGGCCTTTTTCGGCCGTCGACGGCCACGGCAGGCCGTAGATTTGGCCTTTTCCGACCAGATCTGTAGTGGATCTGGCCGGAAAAGGCCATAACGACTCGTTACGACACAGATCCGACCGGTCTGTGTCATAACACGATTTTCCGGCCAGATTCCGACGGTGGTGGCCAGAATCTGGCACTGCAGGTGGTGGGAGTATTTTTGTCAATTTACATGTTGGGGGTATTTATGAAATTAGCAAACTTAGGGGGTTTTTCTATAAATTTTTAAATTTTACCTCGTAATACTCCCATATTCAATTATCTAATACTATCTCCAAAATCCTACCCAAAATAATAAACTAAACGCACCCAATATTTTTTTTTTTTTTTTTTTTGTAATTGGAGTGTTCGGGTTGATTTGTACGCATTTCAATTAATTCTCAAGGTTTATTGAACACTCTACAAGCCCAATGGACAAAACAATCTAGAATGTTATTGACATATTGTGGTATGTGATCCTAAGGTTTAAACCTAATAACTTAAGGAATAAAGCAAACTTCTTTGACCGTCGGATCAACCCCTTCGGGTTATCTTAATAAAACTCTCTCTACGTTAACATAGGTCTACTCATTTATAGAGAGTAAACACTGAAAAGGAGAGGCAATTAATCCAGAAAATGAAGTGAGAAGAGATATATGAACTTGAGAAATGGTATGGAATTGAGTTCCATTCCACATATGGAAGCTGGTTCATTGTGTTTTATTAGTGTGAATAAACAAAGAAGAAACCCGTCATGCGAAGCAGGCTCATTTTTTTACTTTCTTTTAATTATTCTAAATCTAAGTCAGTCTTCGTTTAGTTCACATGAACATCCTTTTCTTACTCAAATTTGATTAATAATGATGTTAGCGAGTCATGACGTGAACTAAATTTAATTGACTTACTCAAAGTAAAATAACTGACACTCGTCAATTAAAATGATATTTTTCCAATGGAACAAACAAAGATAGAATTATCTCAGGTGTTTCAATATTTTAGCACTATCTTATTTAAAATACACATTTGTTTTCCTATTATGAAAATCATATTCTATTTTATTCAATTAATTTTAACCTCTTAGGTTAGTTAATTTAACTAAACATCCTTCCCCCCCGAAATTGACAAAAAACACTCTCACCCACTCACATTTGCCAAATTCCAGCTACTACGGTCAAAAGGTGGACAAAATCTGGTATAATGGCGCACTACCGATTGGATTTGGTCGATAATGCGTCGATATAGCATTTTTCAACTAGATCCACTGTGGATCTAGTCGAAAAAGTCCAGATCTACGACCATAGGTAGTCGTCAACGACGGCCAAGATATGGTTGTTGTTGACCATCAACGACAACCATATCTTGTTCATTGTTGACGACTAAATGCGGCCAAATTTGGCATTTTCCGGCCAAATCCATAGTGGATCTGTTTGAAAAATGTCATATCGACGCACGACCGGCCAGATCCCACTGGTCGTGCGTCGATACGGTGACTTCAACCACCCTCCAGCGGTGGTGGTCGATTGCCGGTATTTAATGGGTGGATGGGGTTGTTTTTGTTAATTTTCAATGTTTTATTATAGGAGTGTTTAGTAAATTAACAAACCTAGAAGATGTTTTTATAATTTTTAAATCCTACCTTGTAATAACCACTCAACTCTTACTTTTTCAAAAATCATATCTAAAATAATAAAATAAACACATCTGATTCATGATTTTTTAGTACGCGTCTTTTCTGACATTCCTCGTTATTCATACAACATAAAAAGTAAATGAATAAGCGAATGCTTGTGGAAAGAAAAACCAAGAATTTCATATTGAAATTCAATGGTGAATCGTGGTACATGTAAATCTAAAGAAAAAGAGAAAATCATAAAAGATTTTGTACTCTTTAAGTCTTAACAAACCTGGTTGTGAAGACAGCTATATTTCACTCTAGAGAAGACTAGAAATTTGCTGTGAGTCTATGACGAAGGTTGGTTGGAAGCCTCAATTTTCCAAATGAGTAACTTTTGGTTCCCAGGCAAACTGGTTTACTATTACAATTATTTTATTCTATTCTATAGTAGAGTCCAAGGACTATGGCCTCAGTACAAATCAATATCGGTTGTCTCTCTGTGTGTTTCCTCTGTATTCTTCTTCTTCTTCTTCTACACTAAAATTAGGTTAGGTAAACTTTAAAATAATACGCTCAANAATCCAGAATGTTATTGACATATTGTGGTAGGTGGTCCTAAGGTTTGAACCCAATAACTTAAGAAATAGCGCAAACTTTCTTGACCGCCAGACCAACCCTTTCAGGTTATCTTAATAAAACTCTCTCTACGTTAACATAGGTCTACTCATTTATAGAGAGTAAACGTGAAAAGGGGAGGCAATTAATCCAGAAAATGAAGTGAGAAGAGATATATGAACTTGAGAAATGGTATGGAATTGAGTTCCATTCCACATACGGAAGCTGGTTCCTTGTGTTTTATTAGTGTGAATAAACAAAGAAGAAACCAGTCAAGCGAAGCAGGCCCATTTTTTACCTTCTTGTAATTATTCTAAATCTATTTTCACATGACGTGAACTAAGTTTCATTGACTTACTCAAAGTAAAATAATTGATACTCGTCAATTAAAATGATATTTTTCAAATGGACCAAACAGAGATAGAATTATATTGGGTGTGTTTGTTTCAATATTTTTGCATTATCTTATCTCTATCCTACCCAAAATACACATTTGTTTCCCTATCCTGAAAATCATATTCTATTTTGTTCAATTATTTTTAAACCCCTTAGGTTAGTTAATTTAACTAAACACCCTCCTAAAAAAAAGTTTAGAAATTGACAAAAAAACAACCCCACCCACCTACATTTGTCAAATTCCAGCTACCACCATTAGAAGGTGGCCAAAATTTGGTATAATAGCGCACTATCGATTGGATTTGGTCGGTAGTACGCCGATATAGCTTTTTCCAACTAGATCCACTATGGATTTAGTCGGAAAAGTCCAGATCTAGCGGTGGATCTAACATTTTTCGGCCAAATCTATGGCGGCTCTGGCTAGAAAAGGCCATATCGGAGCATTATTGGTTGGATTTGCCGGTCTTGCGTCGATACGGCGACTTCGACCATCCTCCGACGGTGGTGGTTGACTACCAGTATTTAATGGGTGGGTAGAGATATTTTTGTTAATTTTCAATGTTT